CCTCCTCCTCCTCCTCCTCCTTTCCTTTGTGAAACCAGGACACGGACACCCCATGGGAGAGAGGCAGACGGGAAGCAATGCTATAGCTGGATGCAGTCAGGCTTGAGCGGAATTCCATGCCGCTAGAAGGAGCGGAAGGGCACTCCGTAGTCGCAACCTGCAGGCGGGCGTGCTGTGAGTTCAGTGGACAGGGTCTGCAAGCGGGGGAGTTAGAAAGTGCAGGCCTGCTCAGAAGAAGGCGTGAACTAACCTCAAGAAACCTTTAAGGATCCCGCACCGCACCGTAATCAAATATTTATCGGGGGTTCGCCGAACGATATAATTAGCACCGCGCAAATGGAAGGCATATAGATAATTCCCGCGCCCCGGCTCGGGTGGTATCCCAATTGGAATTGAAATAATACGAAGAACCAGCAGACGAACAATCTTGATAATGGTAAAAAAGGCGAAACATAATAATAGTTAAGAATGGAAATAATACGAATACCACGGCTAGGAGTAATACATACAATAATACGAATAAAAATGAAAGTAATAAGAACAACACGACAAATGATAATACTACTCATCATAATCATACGACTACGAATAAGCATCGAAAACTGAAGGGCTCCACTGCTTCATTCTCCCTGCCTCCTTGTTCTCATTCTCCTCATCGTCTTTGACATATACGATTATGATTACCAACCCTATTGAATTATTGGGGGGTCCCGGCCGTCGTGTGGGGTAGTGCATCCGAGGACATCGCCCCCGCCCCGCACGGAGCGATAGATTAGCACTGCGAACGCGAAGAAAAAAATCTGACCCCTCCACCACCCCGACAATAATCATAGTGATCCTACGAATGACTAGTAATCATATTAATACACATAAAATAATAATATGGCTCCACGTAAGAACACTACAATGCGTAATAATACGAATATGAATACGAAGAACAATAATAACACGAATAAGGAGAGGACACATAATAATACTACGAATGCGAATCATAACACGATGACTAGTAAGGACACGAATGAAAATAGGAGTAATGATACGAACAATAACACGAATAAGAAAACACATGAAAATTTCAGAGCCACACGGAAACCAGTTTTGCGATAATGTCTCAGGCGGTTTGCTTGCTTCGGCGGGCAGACTCGTCTGCGTTCGAAGCAGGTTGCGAGGTGCCAGGGTAACGCTTCCAGGGTGCTGGATGCGTTATACTGTCGCCGGAGGGGGGGGAGGGGTTTCTTCATTGCTTACTCTGGTTAGTGCGGGCAACCATGGTGACCATAGAGGTCGCTGGGTGCAAGGGTGGCTTTGAAGGGCCTCTTCGGGCCATCCCTGGGGCCAACGGGGGGCGAGGGGAGGAGGAGGCGGAGGAGGAGGCGGAGGAGGAGGGCTTCTCAGAAACCCTCCGGCCTTCGGATGAGCCGTCTTTCTTGTAGGAGAGAAAGCTAGCACACTTCGTAAGGGCGCGAGGGCTTCTGGCAACGTTCTGAGAAGGCCTGCCCCCTTTCACTTCCCCGATCGACTCGCCGCCGAACTGCCGTCGGACTTCGTCCCCTTGTTTCTGTAGCCGTTTCGGTCGTTCCGGAACTTGCGAGGCGGGGATCTATCCATATCCACCGCCTGGGAACCGACGTCCTGGTGCCCCAGCGGGCGGATATGGATATACTTCGGCCCCCGGGGGCCCGAACATGTCCATATCCACCGCCTGCCGGGGCTCCGAAAACTGACCCTCCAGGCGGTGGTCGTGTATAAATCCCCGCCTCGGAGAGCTGCCGGCATATCGTGGCCACACCGGCCGATCCGCACGAGGGCCGCCTCCTTGTCGCTGTCTGTCCTGGTCGATCCGTCGCCCTGCGTCGCCGCGTTGCCGACCTGCCCCGAGCTCGTACAGGGCAGGTTTTAATACATAGGATTATTAAACATATAGGATTTTTAGTACATGAATGAATTCATGCATGAACTCATCGTTGATTTTAATACTAAATCCCTGCATGTTCAATACATGATCCGCACGCGGAGCATGTATTAAAGACGGCACTGTAGGGTCAAAGCCTCGCCACAAGGGCCATCGAGGGGGGGGAGGAACAGGCTCCAATTTGCGCCTCACTTGCGACCGAAAGAGGCCCCCAAGGAGCCCCCCTAAGAGGCCCTTCAAGAGGCCCCCCCAGAGATCCGCGTGCACTCGAGGGGCCCCTGGCCCAGCACCAAAGGAGGGGTTGGCCGAAAGCCACTAGGTAGGTGAACGTTTTTTTATTCGGCGTTTCGACATTGGGCGGAAGGCCGGGAGGGGGGGGGGTTCTGGCTCTGGACATCGGCTTAGTGCGACTGTTTGCAACCGTGCGTCCTATGGGGGGAGGCTCCACCTGTCTGAAACAGGCGCCAAAAACAGCCAAGATCTACTCTATGGGGGGGAGGAAGGGGGTGCGAGGGTCCGCGCCGATCGGAAAACAACGAATAAAAAATGACGACATAGAGGTAGCGCGGTACTCTGTCTCCGCTCCAG